TGCATAGATTCTACGTAGGTTGCGTACGATATTCCTACGAATATAACGACATAGATTATAACTAAATGTTCTAGCATTAGAGGGATGACTACTCACCTCTAAACGAAGGGGTTGATGGAATGAGATGAACGAATGGCGCCAACGAACGGACGAGCGACGACTACGCTTCGCACGGACGCCCTAGCTGTTCTTTCCTTCCTTCTCCCTCAACCGTGCACCCACCGGAGCTTCGCCGGAGACCTCCCTGGCTGCTGTTGCCTTGGCCAAAAGTAAGAGAGAGAGAGAGAGTGAGGATTGTGAATTCTTGGGGGTTACAAAATGGGAGGTGATGGAAGAGGAAATGATGGAGTTTTAATGGTGGATTATGGAGCCTAATGAATGAGAGTAATGGTGGTGTTGAGGGGGCCGAACTAAGGGTTTAGGGGAGTTACAAAATCTATTTACTTCGTAATGTAGAATCTGACCTGAACGGTACGCGCTTTTCCCCCCGAGCGGGTCTGAATTGAGATCTGGTTGCGTTTCTGGAATCAGACAGTCAAAACGAATTTAATGATATGATCAAATTTTAATTTCCCCCAACTCCGGTCCGAAACATGAATTAATTAATTAAATTAATCAATTCTATTAGACCGGGTTACAGGGCGTTACAATTATCCACCCCTTAAGAAAATTTCGTCCTCGAAATTTACCTGATCACTGGTCACTGAAAAGATGTGGATAACGAGTGCGCATGGATTCCTCGGTCTCCCATGTCGCCTCCTCGACGGTGTGACTTCTCCACAGAACCTTGACCAGCGGAATGGTTTTGTTCCTCAACTGACGAACCTCGCGAGCCAGAATCTCAACCGGCCCCTCTTCGTACGTGAGATTCTTATCAAGTGTGATCGTATCAGCTGGAATCACATGAGAAGGGATTCTCATCAAGTGTGACCGTATCAGCTGGAATCACATGAGAAGGGTCCGACCAGTACCTCCGGAGCATGGACACGTGGAATACATCATGGATCCTGCTCAACTCCGATGGTAACTCGAGCCTGTAAGCTACAGGTCCTACCCGCTCGGTGACTGGGTACAGGCCTATAAACCTCGGGCTCAATTTTCCCTTCTTTCCGAAATGTAAGACGCTCTTCCAAGGCGACACCTTCAGGAAAACCTTATCCCTGACTGCATACTCGATGTCACGCCTCTTAAGGTCGGCGTAAGACTTCTGCCGGTCCGAAGCCACCTTAAGTCGGTCTTTAATCACCTGGACCTTCTCCTCGGTCTCACGAACCAAATCTGGTCCCTCCAACCTCCTCTCGCTTAGCTCTGTCCAGCAGATAGGAGTACGACAGGGTCTACCGTACAGATCCTCATACGGTGCCATACCAATGCTAGCCTGGTAACTATTATTGTATGCAAACTCCATGAGTGGAAGGTATTTCTCCCAACCATCCCCGAAGTCGATTGCACACGCACGCATCATGTCCTCTGTAGGCTCTTCCAAAACTGTGATGTAAATCGAGGGTCACAATTCGAAATGATAGATGATGGAACTCCATGTAGCCTAATGATCTCACGGATGTACAACTCCGCTAAACGCTGAAGTGAGAAGTCACGACGAATGGGGAGAAAATGGGCTGATTTGGTCAACCGATCAACAATGACCCAAACCGTGTCGTGCTTATGTGGTGACAATGGCAATCCCACGACGAAATCCATCGTGATGCGATCCCACTTCAACTCTGGAATGGTGATCTGCTGAAGCAATCCCGAAGGAACCTGGTGCTCGGCCTTGACCTGCTGACAAGTCAAGCACCGTGATGTGAACTCCGTGATCTCCCGCTTCATCGTGGCCACTAGTAATGTCTCCTAAGATCCTGAAACAACTTGTTACTGCCCGGGTGCATGGTATACACAGTGCTGTGTGCTTCACGAAGCAGGCGTTCTCTCATCTCTCCCGCTGGCATAACCATACGCTCCCGATAGTACAAGATACCCTCACGAACTGCGAAATCTGGCTTCTCTCCTCGAGAGACGAGCTCAACGGTATGGATACAGAAATCATCGCTACTCTGGGCTGATGCTATCTGCTGCTGTAATGTAGGCTGGACGTGTAACACAGCTAGAGTCTTCCGACTAAGGGCATCGGCTACCACATTCGCCTTACCTGGGTGGTAAGCGATGTGACAATCGTAGTTCTTAATCAACTCTAACCATCTCCTCTGTCGGAGGTTCAGATCCTTCTGTGTCAACAAGTACTGAAGACTCTTATGGTCGGTGAAGATACGCGTCGTCTCACCGTAGAGGTAATGCCTCCAGATCTTCAAAGCAAGTACAATAGCTGCTAGCTCAAGGTCGTGCATCGGGTAAATACACTCATGTGGCTTCAACTGTCGAGATGCATAAGCAACGACCTTGCCCTCCTGCATGAGAACACACCCCAAGCCGTTATGGGATGCGTCACTGAAAACCGTATACTCCACTCCTGGAGTGGGCTGGACTAGAACTGGTGCCTGAGTCAGACACTCCTTCAGCTGCTCAAACCTCTGCTGGTAGGCGTCAGTCCAAACGAACTTGACGTCCTTCCTCATCAACTTGTGCAGTGGTGACGTTATCTTGTGTTGGAACACACTTTGTACGATAAACTAAAATCGTGTTCATTTCTCACAGGTTTTGATAATTGCCAAACCGTCGTGGATATAAAGAGTTTCGTTGAATAACTCAAGGTGTGAAGAATGGCTTGGAACAAGACCTAAAATACTCAAGGACAAGATCAAGAATTGAAGACTTAGCCGAGTCGGTCTTTTGTGATCAAAACCGACAATAAATTCAAGTCTCGCTTCTCAAAAAGTCAAAACAATTTTTACAAATCATAAAATATTTTTTTGTGCATCAAAACAAACATTTTTTGATGATTTCTTTTATTGATAAAATCCCTGGTCCTTGCTCAGAACCAAAACCACCTAAGTCGGCTTTCGGCGTTCGGCTTTCGGCATACGGCTTTTGGCGTTCGGTTTTTGGCGCCCGAACCAACTCCGTGGTTTTCAATATTTTAAACCCTGTTTTTACCTCTGAGAATTTTTTAAATGATCCCAAATAATTATTTTATAAAAACCACTTTTGTATCTTGGTCAATCGGTCTAACACGTGAAAAACGGTCTAAACCGTACGCACGTATTATACGACCTTGGAGACTTGGTTTTTACCAAACAAGTCTTGTTTTCACTATTTTATACCATATACAATATTTTCCAAACCTGGTTTTTTTACTTTTCAGAAGACATCGTTTTTGGACCTCGGTTTTTCAAAACGGGTTTCGGCTGGCTAGACTTTAGCTGGGTGATAATCGATTATCACCTTAGTGACAATCGACTATCAGCCCCTGCAGCTTTGAACTTCCAAAGTTCTGAAGCACGCCATAATCGATTATCACTTATGCAATTGTTGGAGTTGTGCCCTGATGGCCAACTGTTTATCGTTATTCTATCATGTATAGGGAGATATAATATGTTTACACATCTCATGCTAATGTAAACAAATATTATATTCCTAGATTTATATTTAAAAGATGTTTATCAGATAGTGTTTTTCTGCTGATGAGACTAACATCTTGAAATAAATATTTATCTAAATGTCCATAGTCATGTATTAACGAGAGTGGGATATCGTTAATGCATGTGAGACTAGTGTGTGTTGGATGTTTGACTTAGTCTCATAGTCAATGACGGTGTGTTCGCATCCGCACATGGGCAGATATTATCTAGAGATAATAGGATGCCGAACTGACCCATCCTAAAGATGTTGCTTGAACTTTTAGTTCATGCTCTAAGCATCTTTAGCGCGACCACGGGTGTAACTATCCTTCGACTTGAAGTATTACGTTTTCTGCATATGTGAACCCGCATACTTTGATGCATTGTCCTAAGCCATATGAAATAAGGATGGTATACAGGCTTTGTTTTGGGTATGCCGCAGCGCATATTCAGAGACGTAGATTACGTACATAGGATTTGTCACTAATCTTTTTAAGAGATTAATGTCTTATGGGGCCCAATGATAAGTTATGATTGAAGAAATTGCATGGCCATGCTGAGATGTTTTTATGACGTCTGTTCCTATCAGTCAGACTTGATAAATCAGTGAAAGACTTAATGGATACAAGCTGGATTTTATTAATCCCTTGCATTAAGTTTAGACATTGAGACAAAGGGATACAGTTACACGGAGTCTGAGTCGTGGAAAGGTTTTGACGGTGCAAACGTCTTAACTTATAATCTGGGGTCAATAATGTGTTGCTAGATACCGCTTATTGCTTATAGTATTGGTGCAGAGCCAATACTGTGGCCAGCTTTATAAGTGCCTATACGGGTCACAAACTTTGAACAATTTAAAGAGTAGGATTAAACAATGGGATAATAAGTAATTTGTATATTTGTAAGATAGTAAAATAAAATATTTTGGAATATAATATTATATATGAAAAACATTCGGTGATATATTTATATACATAAATACCGAAATATATATATATATTACATGTTGAATATTTTATTTTGGTTTGTCATTTTAATTATGAAAGTAATTATTTTGACATAAACTATTTAAAGTATATTTGTATACTTGTTTAAAAAAATGATATGGGTATTTTTATTTGATTTAAAATTAATTTTACATTAATTTTTGGTGTCAAATAAAATACACTTTGAACATTTAAGTGGAGAAGAATTTCACAAATCCTTCTCACAATTTACACTTTCGGCCATATGATAAAATGGATTGACAAATTGCTAATGTTTTGCTAGATTGATAAATTAGTGGACTAATTCATTTTGTCATTTAGCTAATGACAAAATAATGGAGCATCTTTGTTTTATTTAAACAATTCACTCCATTTTGCAAAATGAGCTTTTATGATTTTCGGCCATTTGAGATTCTAGTGAGAGAAAATTATTTTAAGTCTTCCATTAATATCATTTTGTGTATAGAATATATCTATAATATTTTCTAAATATTATTAGAAATATTTTCTATAAGAAATATACAAGATTATTATTATCCCAATTTTAATCTTTATATTTTATACTACTATAATCTTTACTAGCATAAAGATTGTGGTAGACTCTGGCGTTGTTCGTGTGTCAAAGTTGGAGACCGGACGCTTGAACGGTTATGTTTGCACTTTCAACGCTCTTCCTACGACTTCTTCGTTTTTACCGCTTACGGAGAAAGGTATTAATTTCTTATTTACTATAAGTTTTAGTACGTGATTCTGGGCAAGATAATCATGTTAGGATGTTAAATTTTTGTATTCCGCTGCCTATCCTTGCATGGTTACCTTTCAGTGGTATCAGAGCCAACGTACAAAACTATAGTTTTACGTTTGACTTTTAAAATTTTAAAAGTCAAAGTTTTAACTTGGTAATTATTAAAATTCAAAAATTGGTAAAATGAATTTATTTAGTCTTGAAATAAGTATTGGACTTAAATAAATCATTGAAAATGAATTTTAAATTTATTTATTTTATTTCTACCGGTAATATATATATAAATATATATATTTTGATTTTTCGAAATATATATTTATATATATTGTAGAAATAGTAAATATAATTTTATTTGGACATAAAACATCATTTTATGATTGATAAAATTATATTGTAATTTTTGAATGTATTATTTCCTATTTTGAATTTATTGTATTTATTTAGGTGAAAACCAAAAATAAATATGGGAAAATTCAAAATGAACTTTATTAAACTTGGAAATATTATTTCTAAGTTGAATAAGGTTGTTGATAAATATATTGTTCAAAATAATATTATATAGTAATTAAATAAATATATATTTATATATGTACTCGGTTTTAATACCGAAATATTATATATATTTATATATTTGTATTTTAATTACATAAATGACTAATATATATTTTGGAAAGTTATATCTCAGTAAGAAAAAGAATTTTTTTCAAAATATTAAATTTTTGTAATTTAATATTTTCAAAATCAATTTAAATGGCTTTTTATAACTTATTGAGATTTAACTAGTATAGTTTGGAAATAAAGATTTATAAATTTTTGAAATTTTATTTCCAGGTTTATAAATGTTAAAAATAACTACTGGAAGTTGAAATTTAATTTTCATGATTTTTGCAACATTGTTTCAAAATTTTAATGGCCTTTTTTAATATAATTTTGCAAAAAGGGCATTTTGGTCATTTGGAATATTCTGGATATTGTTTTTATGCTTGCAGAATATCTAGAGTATATAAAATGATTTTATAAAATTTTACTAGATATATTTGGACATCTAATTTAATTTTATGAGTTTTAGAAAATATTTACTCCCGTAGAATTTTTCTAGAACTGTCTGGGGTGAGCGCGATTCACCCGGTGTATGTATATCTCTATTGCTTGTGTGGATGTATGATATGCATGGTGGATTATTGTGGCTATAGTTTATTTGATTATAATACGGCTTGCGTGTCGTGCCTTATCTCATAAACTCTTGTTGTAAATCTATTTCTCTCTCTTACGTCAACCGAGGATTCTTTTCTCACGTGGTGGTTTGAAGATGAAAAGATTTGAAGACCGTTTGAAGAAATCTAAAAGAATGGAGATAGCCCGAAGTCCAAGTGCCCAGAAGCCAGTGGAAGCTATCGTTTTATTTTTCTTTTAGGGGCCACAAGCATTACACGTTTATTTACTGCGTTTTGTGAATGCATGTTGAATGTATGTTGAACGCTAGTAATGGACATGTGCGCGGCCATGTCGATAGGTGAGATCGAAATTATAAATCCCTCACGAATATTAAGTCTGTCGCCTTCTGACGCCCGACATCTATCCGGCTAATGTGCACTGTCATGTACTCAGCCTCAGCAGAGCATAGTACGGTGTATGTTAAGCTGGTTACGGGAACCGCCATAGCGTGGTCGCTGTCGCACGTTGGGTTAGACTTAACTGAGTCTCGGTCAAATGGATGGACGACTCAGAGGCAGTAAGTTGGGGTCATCAATGACAAGTCGGATGATTTTACTCACTCATCCAGCCAGGAGTTGGATCTTTATGATNTTTAATTGGAACTCTATTCCTAACCAAAGTAGTCTGCTTGTAAGACGTGCCTCAGCCAATTACAAGTACGGTGAAAAGGTGTCCTGGTCCGGTTGTAGTAATATTGTTCGCCCAACACCAGACCAAGAGCTGAGAGCCCGGCTCATCAGTTGGAACTATGTTCCTACCTAAATAGTTGTCTTGTGGAGTAACGCCCAAGCGGAACGCAAGATAATGAAATATGGATCTTGAAATGACATATCAAGACTCATGAACAGTTAGATTCGCTGTCCTGAAATACCTTCAAATCCAAGATGAAAAGTCAAATGGTTACTGCCCTGAAGACAACGACCCCTTGAGTAATTGAAAGACTACGTTACGACGTATGAATTGAAACAAACTCCAATTGTGCTTATCAAAGACCATTCAAGAGTATTGAAGAAACTTTCAATCGATTCTGTTAACCAAGGACGTACAGAGATATGATTGAGGAAATTGCATGGCCATGCTGAGATGTTTTTATGACGTCTGTTCCTATCAGTCAGACTTGATAAATCAGTGAATGACTTAATGGATACAAGCTGGATTTTATTAATCCCTTGCATTAAGTTTAGACATTGAGACAAAGGGATACAGTTACACGGAGTCTGAGTCGTGGAAAGGTTTTTACGGTGCAAACGTCTTAACTTATAATCTGGGGGCAATAATGTGTTGCTAGATACCGCTTATTGCTTATAGTATTGGTGCAAAGCCAATACTGTGGCCAGCTTTATAAGTGCCTATACGGGTCACACACTTTGAACAATTTAAGGAGTAGGATTAAACAATGGGATAATAAGTAATTTGTATATTTGTAAAATAGTAAAATAAAATATTTTGGAATATAATATTATATATGTAAAACATTCGATGATATATTTATATATATAAATACTGAAATATATATATATATATATATTATATGTTGAATATTTTATTTTGGTTTGTCATTTTAATTATGAAAATAATTATTTTGACATAAACTATTTAAAGTATTTTTGTATACTTGTTTAAAAAATGATATGGGTATTTTTATTTGATTTAAAATTAATTTTATATTAATTTTTGGTGTCAAATAAAATACACTTTGAACATTTAAGTGGAGTAGAATTTCAAGAATCCGTCTCACTTTTTCAAATCAATTGTTCGGCCATGATATCTTTTAAAGGAACAAAAATTACCTTGATTGATAATTGAGTGAAGCTAACTATTTTGTCATTTTGTTAATGACAAAGTCAAATTAATAATCACTTTTTCTCCTTAAATATACTACACACCATTCCACTTATTTTGGTGTAGTGTGTCTTTCGGCCATTGTATTTCTAGTGAGAGAAAAATATTATTTTGGTTCCATTAATATCATTTTGTGTATAGAAAATATCTATAATATTTTCTAAATATTATTAAAAATATTTTCTATAGAAATATACAAGATTATTATTATCCCAAATTTTAATCTTTATATTTTATACTACTATAATCTTTACTAGCATAAAGATTGTGGTAGACTCCGGCGTTGTTCGTGTGTCAAAGTTGGAGACCAGGCGCTTGAACGGTTACGTTTGCACTTTCAACGCTCTTTCTACGACTTCTTCGTTTTTACCGCTTACGGAGAAAGGTAGAAATTTCTTACTGACTATAAGTTTTAGTACGTGATTCTGGGCAAGATAATCATAACAGGATGTTAAAATTTTTCTTTTCCGCTGCCTATCCTTGCATGGTTACCTGTCAGTGGTATCGGAGCCAACGTACAAAACTATAGTTTTATGTTTGATTTTTAAAATTTTAAAAGTCAAAGTTTTAACTTGGTAATTATTAAAATTCAAAAATTGGTAAAATGATTTTATTTAGTCTTGGAATAAGTATTGGACTTAAATAAATCATTGAAAATGAATTTTAAATTTATTTATTTTATTTCTACACGTAATATATATATAAATATATATATATTTTGATTTTTCAAAATATATATTTATATATATTCTAGAAATAGTAAATATAGTTTTATTTGGACATAAAACATCATTTTATGATTTATAAAATTATATTGTAATTTTTGAATGTATTATTTCCTATTTTGAATTTATTGTATTTATTTAGGTGAAAATTTAAAATAAATATGGGAAAATTCAAAATGAACTTTATTAAACTTGGAAATATTATTTCTAAGTTGAATAAGATTGTTGATAAATATATTTTTCAAAATAATATTAGTTAGTAATTAAATAAATATATATTTATATATGTACTCGGTTTTATTACCGAAATATTATATATATTTATATATTTGTATTTTAATTACATAAATGACTAATATATATTTTGGAAAGTTATATCTTAGTAAGAAAAAGAATGTTTTTCAAAATATTAAATTTTTGTAATTTAATATTTTCGAAATCAATTTAAATGGCTTTTTATAACTTATTGAGATTTAACTAATATATTTTGGAAATAATGATTTATAAATTTTGGAAATTTTATTTCCAGGTTTATAAATGTTAAAAATAACTACTGGAAGTTGAAATTTAATTTTCATGATTTTTTCAAAATTGTTTCAAAATTTTAATGGCCTTTT